CTTCCAATCCATGAGCATGGAATGTTTTTCCATTTCTTTGTCTCTTCTTCAATTTCCATCATAAGTTTTCTATAGTTTTCGGCATATAGATCTTTTACATCTTTGGTTAGGTTCATTTCTAGGTATTTTATGGTTCTTGGTGCAATTGTAAATGGGATCAATTTCTTGATTTCTCTTTCTGTTGCTTCTTTATTGGTGTATAGAAATGCAAGTGATTAATGTATATTGATTTTGTACCCTGTGACTTTGCTGAATTCATGGTATCAGTTCTAGCAGCCTTTCGGTGGAGTCTTTCGGGTTTTCCATGTAGAGTATCATGTCGTCTGCAAAAAGTGAAAGTTTGACTTTTTCTTTGCCAATTTTGATGCCTTTGATTTCATTTTGTTGTCTGATTGCTGATGCTAGGATTTCCAACACTATGTTAAACAACAGTGGTGAGAGTGGACATCCCTGTTGTGTTCCTCATTTCAGGAGGAAAGCTCTCAGTTTTTTCCTACTGAGGATGATATTAGCTGTGGGCTTTTAATATATGGCTTTTATGAGGTTTAGGTATGTTCCTTCTATCCCGACATTCTTGAGGGTTTTTATTAAGAAAGGATGCTGTATTTTGTCAAATGCTTTTTCTGCATCGATTGACAGGATCATATGGTCCTTATCCTTTCTTTTATTAATGTGACGTATCACATTGATTTGCGAGCATTGAATCAGCCCTGCAGCCTGGGAATGAATCCCACTTGATCATGGTGAATAATTCTTTTTATGTGCTATTGAATTCAATTTGCTAGTATCTTGTTGAGAATTTTTGCACCTGTGTTCATCAGGGATATTGGCCTGTAATTCTCCTTTTTTGTGGGGTCTCTGTCTGGTTTGGGAATGAAAGTAATGCTGGCTTCATAGAATGAGTCTGGAAGTTTTCCTTCCATTTCTATTTTTTGGAACAGCTTGAGAAGGATAGGTATTAACTCTGCTTTAAATGTCTGGTAGAATTCCCCTGGGAAGCCATCTGGCCCACGACTCTTATTTGTTAGAAGATTTTTGATAACTGATTGATTCAATTTCTTCACTACTTATGGGTCTGTTCAAATTTTCTATTTCTTCCCGTTTGAGTTTTGGTAGTGTATGGGTGTCTAGGAATTTGTCCATTTCTTCCAGGTTGTCCAGTTTGCTGGCATATAATTTTTCATAGTATTCTCTGATAATTGTATTTCTGGGGGATTGGTTCTGATAAGTCCATTTCCATTCGTGATTTTATCTATTTGGGTCCTCTCTCTTTTCTTTTTGAGACGTCTGGCTAGGGGTTTATCAATTTTGTTTATTTTTTCCAAAAACCAGCTCTTAGTTTCATTGATCTGTTCTACTGTTTTTTGGATTCTATATTGTTTATTTCTGCTCTTATCTTTATTATTTCTCTTCTTCTGGTCTTGGGGTTTCTTTGATGTTCTGCTTCTAGTTCCTTTAGTTGTGCTATTAGATTTTGTATTTGGGATTTTTCTTGTTTCTTGAGATAGGATTGGATTGCAATGTATTTTCCTCTTAGGACTGCCTTTGCTGCGTCCCAAAGGGTTTGGGCTGTCATGTTTTCATTTTCATTTGTTTCCCTATATTTTTTAATTTCTTCTTTAATTGCCTGGTTGACCCATTCATTCTTTAGTAGGGTGTTCTTTAACCTCCATGCATTTGCAGGTTTTCCAAACTTTTTCCTTTAGTTGATTTCAAGTTTCATAGCAGTGTGATCTGAAAATGTGCATGGTATGATCTCAATTCCTTTACATTTATTGAGGGTTGTGTTTTGACCCAGTATGTGATCTATCTTGGAGAATGTTCCATGTGCCCTCGAGAAGAATGTGTATTCTTCTGCTTTAGAATGAAAAGTTTTGAATATATCTGTTAAGTCCATCTGGTCCAGTGTATCATTCAGGACCATTATTTCTTTATTGATTTTCTGCCTAGATGATCTGTCCAATATATGGCCTCTGACTGGCGGGCACAGGCAGTCTTTGTCCTTTAAATGGTTATTTATATACCGTCTTCCCACAGCACTCCAGGGAGGGGATTGCTTTCTCCCACTGTGGACTGTGCCTCCAAACTAGGTACCGAGCCAGGGGCTGGCTCCCCTTCTCCCCAGTTGCACAAACAGGGCAGCTGGCCCCAGTCCTGAGAAAGCCCCGCAGTTAGAGATTGGATCTTTGTCCATCCTGGTCTGTGGTTTTTCTCTTGTCCGGATACAGTCCTACACTTCCCCAGACTCTCTTCTGCAGAAGGGGATCCCTCCTATCCGTGCCTACCTGCCTGTTTTGTCATCTCTCTCAGTTCTCTATCATGCACCTGTGGCCTGCCAGGTTGTCCCCATGGGCCCCTGGAGATGGAATCTGTCACTCTGCAGCCCAGACTCTTGGAATTCAAAGTCCTTTGGTCTCAACACTGCTGTGTTTGAGGGACGAGGGAACTTTGGGTCCCCCTACTTTTCCGCCATGTTGATTTCCCGTTATTAAGTGCTATTTTTAAACAATTGCTTTTATAATGAACATGTATTCAGATGTTACAGAATTTAGAAGAGTTGAATCTTAAAGACACAAGTTTTCCAAGGGGCATTTGATGTTTTATAAAAGGTGAAGCATCTCAGGCATTGTGAAAATACTTTGTCAACTAAAAAAAGCCATAGAAATGGCTTGCACCTTGCTTTCTGTTGCGTTTCCTTTCTTGGGACTCCATTAAAAATAAAGCCATCTTTTTGAATGTATACCAGTAATATACCTGTGTATCTCTATAGGTAGAATTTCAAAACATTCTTATATTGTTATTATAAAGCATTCTTTAGAACATTTTGAAGGGACATTTTTTTTTAATGTTACAAATTTGAATATTGTTAAAAAATGATGATTCGGTCTGAGACTTCTTTTGGGTTATTAAATACTGGCCTCCTATCATCACACTGATCCTTAACACTTTTGCCACGGAGCGTGGGAGGAGGACATGGGGACAGCTGAGTGCCTGCTGGGCTTGGTATGTGCAGTTTTTATTTGGATTTATTTATTAGAACCTTCTTCCAGCCCAAGTAACTTGACTGAGGTTCCACAGCAACGGTAGGGGACAGAAATTTTAAGCCCAAATCTCTCTGCCTTCAAGGTCCATGTTGTATTATTTTAAGTTATATAAATAACATGTGAATAGATTCTCCTGGTAAATAACTTCAGAGAACATAGAGCAAAAAAGTTAAACCCACCTTTTTACGGAGCCCTCCCCAACCCAACTCCCTCCTATGAGGTGATGACTAGGCACCAAACTAGGTGCCTTTATAGGTGTGTGTGTGTGCGTGCGTGGGCGTGTGTTTACATGCACTTCCATACATATTTATGTGCAAAAAGTGTCATGTTTTAAGTACCAAAAACATGAAAAATAAATGAAGCCATATTGCACATAGTATGGCTTTGTGTCTCTTTAAAAAATAATGTTTTGGGGGCACCTGGCTGGTTCGGTCAGTACAGCATGTAACTCTTGATCTCCAGGTTGTGAGTTTAAGCCCCACGTTGGGTATAGAGATTACCTAAATAAATAAACTTAAAAAACAACCCATACTGTAGCCATATTGTAGTATAATCCTATGTTGTTGAAGAAAAAAAGTGCATTATAAAGTATATAGCATGTATATATTAGGGGCACCTGGCTGGCCCAGTTGCTGGAGCCAACTCTTGATCTCTGGGTCTTGAGTTTGAGCCCTATGTAGGGGGTAGAGTTAACCAAAAAAAAAGGTCATTGAGAAGTCAAATAGCTGTCAAATACTGTGAATCTCTGAGCTGAGAAAAAAACGTTTCCTTCCTGAACCCCATGTTTTACAGACTTTCATATATCAAGCACTATTACTTTTTTAATATTCTTTTTTTAAATTGAAACCTAATGTACAGTGTTATATTAGTTTCAGGTGTACAATATGATTCACCCATTGTACGTTACTCAGTGCTTATGATAAGTGTCCTCTTTATCCCCTTCACCTGTTTCTCCCATCCCCCCACACCCTCCCCTCTGGCAACCATCAGTTTGTTCTCTATAGCTAAGTCTGTTTTTTTAGTTTGTCTCTTTTTTCTGTTTTCGTTTCTTAAATTTCACATATGAGTGAAATCATATAGTATTTGTCTCTGACTTATTTCAATTAGGATACCCTCTTACTGCAGCCATGTCATTGCAAATGGCAAGATTCCTTTTTTTTTTTTTTTTAAGGCTGGGCAATATTCTGTATATATACCACATCTTCTTTATCCACTTATCTGTGGATGGACACTTGAGTTGTTTCCATATCTTGCTCTTCCATATTATAAATAATTCAGTATACATAGGGGGACCTATGTCTTTTTGAATTAGTGTTTTTGTTTCATTTGGGTAAATACCCAGTAGAGGAATTACTAGATCCTATGGTAATTCTATTTTTAATTTTTTGATGAACCTTCGTACTGTTGTCCACATTGGCTATACCAGCTCACATTCCCACCAAGGTTCCTTTTTTTTCCACATCATTGCCAATACTTGTTATTTCTAAGCAAGCTCATTATAAAGAAATCATTTCTTATGTGCGTTAAACACTGCTAATGTGACTGACAGGATGAAATAACTAGTATTAAAATTACTGAGTTTAATAATTCTTGCTGAAAGCAAAATACCCTATTTTCTTAGTAATTGCAACTTTTGTTAGATTTTCTAAATAAAGAAAATGGCTCTTACACCCCTACCTTCTTTGAGACCTCCTATAGAGGAGAGGGTACCTGGCTTGGGACATGACGTGCTGTGGGACCCAGAGGGCAGAATGGAGTTGGAGTAGTCGTTCTTTTCTGTGAGACAGACGCTGGAGTCTGCCTTTCTCCTGTTATTTTCAGCCAGAAACCGCTCATAGTCTGAGATGGAGTAGCGTCGGCATTTAGGAGCTTGTTCTTCTCACCAGGTTGGGTTTCTATACTGGCAGAAGCAATGAAGTCTCCCCGCATAATGGAGGCCTCACATGCCGCCAGAACCCTGGCTAATCTAGACCGAGAGACCATGCGAGAAAAATACCAGGACGGCGTGTACGTACTACACCCCCAGTATCGCACAAGGTAAGAAAGCAAATGGTGTCGCTTTGTCTCCTGTGGGGAGGTAAAGCCTAGAGGGCTTATCTTTTTATTTTATTTCTGCGTAATTTAGATGTTAAATGCCTTACAGATAATCCTGATAACCTTACATACTGACTCCACTTGTCCATAATAACCTCAGAAGAATTGCAGGCTGTCATGAAAGTATGGAACTGGCTAAATTACCAGCGTGATTTTACACCAAGGGCCGACCTTCAGTAAGATAGTGTTCACCTCTTGGAGTGTGGCCCGCTTGAGTTTTGTAATGTGGGTTGTTTGTTTCACTGCTGGGTTCTTGGAGATCTGAGTTAATAGCTGATTAGGATTGTAGAGGTTGGTTTGCATGGAAGGAGATAGGACACTGTATGCAGGCAATCCTATTAGTCTGGTTCTAGAACTCAAAAGGACTGCAGAAAGTTTATGCAAGTTATAAAATCATGCACTAGAAGGAAGAAGTTGTAATAAATTTGACTCCTACTCCTCAGGGTTATATCTGGTCACCATTTCCAGTTGTATCATTGCTGAGATCGTAAATATAGAAAGGACCACAATGAAAAACTTACATATTTCTGGGATTTTTGTCAGGCACTTTATGTATTTATTTATTTAGAATTTTTTTTAAAGTTTTTATTCATTTATTTTGAGAGAGGGGGAGAGAGAATCCCAAGCAGGCTCCCTGCTGTCAGCGCAGAGCCCTTTCGCAGGGCTCGATCTCACAGAACCCTGAGATCATGACCTGAGCTGAAATCAAGAGTCAGACCCTTAACCAATTGAGCCATCCAGGTGCCCCTTGTCAGGCACTTTAAAATAATACCTCAGAGGAGTGCCTGAGTAGCTCAGTCAGTTAAGTATCTGATTTCGGCTCAGGTCATGATCTCCTGGTTTGTGGGTTTGAGCCCTGTGTCAGGCTCTGTGCGGACAGCTCAGAGCCTGGAGCCTGCCTGGAGCCTCCCTCTCTCTCTGCCCCTACCCTGCTCACACTCTGTCTCTCTCTCTCTGAAATAAATAAACATTAAAAAAAAATAATACCTCAGAAAATAGCAAAAACATTTAATTGAAAAATGGATTGCCTGGATAATTCCAATTTATAAACAAATAATATGGAAATGTATTTTATATGTATTGCATAATTGTGTGGGTACTATAAATAACTTACAAGTAATACTCTATGTCCAGTTTTTAAAAATGTCCTATCTAAAGACAATAAATTACCTTAAAATCTCATTTCTGCTAAACATTTCCCTTGATAAGTTTTAAAAAATCTCTCATGCATACTCAATTTGAAACTACACTAACTTAATTTCTTAAATACTTTTATTGATTTGTGGAGTATTCTCATGAAATTCTTTGGAGGGCAGTCTATGACATATGTTGCTTCATTGGTCACCACACTTATTCCAGTTGACTTTGGTTGGTCTACTGGCTGGATCTGTGTCCACTTTTATAGAGTAGCAAGCATGCTCCGTGTCTCTGTGCCCAGACTCCTTACAGGGATCCTCAGCGCACCTGTGCTTACACGGCCTGCCTTCGTGGTTTTACTTGCTGTCGTATAAGCTTGCTAAGCACCATCCACAGAGTGCTGTGTAGATTCTTTCCCAAGCAGTAATGCGTTTATTCTGCTTCTTTTTAAAACTCTCTCCTCCTCAGTCAGCCCATTAAAGCAGATGTGCTTTTTATTCATGGCCTTATGGGAGCAGCATTCAAAACATGGCGCCAGCAGGACAATGAGCAGCTTTTAACTGAAAAGATTTTAGAGGACGATGCCAGGTATACAACATGTTGGCCTAAGGTAAGGAAGTGCTGACTTTGGTTAGGCCACCTTCTTCATGACACATTGGTGTCTCCAGCTGTCAGGGCCTCATTGTGATTTGCTTATTTTTCTCTTTCTACTGGGATTTTTCTTCCATGCAGATTTTCTGTTCCTTGGGGACATTTGTAGTATATTCCTGAACAGCTCGGCTTGTCACCCTGCCTTCTGTTGTGTAATTTCTGATCAGGGTGTGGGCTATAACTCTCAAGGAGTATTTCACTAAGTTAAAAAATGGGTGAGGGCCAGTATTTGTTCACTCCTATTAAAAATATAACCCATAACATATTCATAATAGTTAGCTAGTTCTGTGACTTTAATAATTATAAAAACAGAAATACTTTGAAGAAATAATTCTACTTTGGATTTCCTTGATGACATTTCTTCTGAGAGCCTTAATTCTGAGATGAATGCGTCCAGTGGAATATACCTAAAGTTCAGTGAACACGGTTGTTGCACACGTGCAGTTTCTTGGGCTTTGTCCCACCGTGGCTTCCTCACCTTCACAGAGGCTTATCCCGCAAAGAATGGTTTGCACTTGGTCTCTAGCAACACTGAAGTACGATAGACCCTGGGTCCACAGACAACTGTGACTCAATTAGTATCTCTGAGTTCCAGGTCAGATCTTCCACCGTCATATTCTCTGTGCTGAGATCATAACTTTCTATTAAGTGCTCTCCAAAATCTAATTTGATCTGGATTCCAAGAACTCCTTGCTTTTGGCTATAGTGCATTAAAATTGAGAATATGTTCTGGAAACTTGCATTGGCCTTATGCTTATAAATATTGGTGCCACCTTGTGACCAGAGACATAAAAAGATAAAACGTTGGAACTGGTTTTCTAGTCACCTTTAAACTTTATTCTAATGCTATGTTTATTAGTCGTCAGTATTACAGTGACCTTTAGTTACAGGTGTCAATTACTAGGAAATAACTGAAGCAGTGGAAATTCATATATGTTCTTTTGTACCTTTTAATTATATAGACATGGTTGGCAAGAGACTGTCCTGCTCTCCGAATTATATCTGTGGAGTATGACACCAGCCTGAGTGACTGGAGAACGAGGTGCCCGATGGAAAGGTAACAGAGGAAGCTGTGGGCTGGGAGGAAGGGCCAGGGTCCAGGCCACAAGTGGACCCTCTGGGGTGGGGAGAGGGGCTTTAGCTTTTGATGCCACAGACAGAATTTTATTATGAAAATCCTACTTTTTTCTCTTCCTTCTAGAAGGAGTTAGTAATATATAAACAATGAAATAGTATAAGGCTTAGATACAGCGTCAATGTTGGATTCCTAAAGTGGTTCATTTGTAACTATTCTCATAGTAAGGACCAGTGGATTCTATAGCAAAGTCTCCTTTACTCTCAGAAGTAAACGTGAAGCTTTTTCCTTTCGTGTTCACAAGTATATTGACTAAAGGAAGCAAAGAAAAAGATGCTGAGCACTGTAGGCTCCCGGTGTCACTTGTAGGTCACATGTGCTGACTGTATATACATGAAGGAGCCCTGGACCTCTTGGCTCCGGGACCAAGACTGTAGCTGATTGTACCTTTGACCCACTGTGTTATCAACAAGCCATCTAACTTGTCTGGGAGGCTTGGTCTGCAAATTGAGAGAGTTGGTCGGAATCACTGTTACCAAACTGATTGGCACTGGTGAATGGCCCCCACTTAGGTGCCAGAGAAGTGTTCTGAGGGCCAGTGGGCAAGAGCTCAAGGGTCCTTCCCCATTTCACCTGGAGGAACTCTGACAAACCTTTATTGCAAGGAAAGGATTCTATATCTATAGTTTATTTTTATTAAAAAAAATTTTTTTTTAATGTTTTTATTTATTTTTGAGGCAGAGAGAGACAGAGCATGAGTGGGTTAGGGGCAGAGAGAGAGAGGGAGACACAGAATCCGAAGCAGGCTCCAGGCTCTGAGCTGTCAGCACAGAGCCCGACCCAGGCCTCGAACTCACGGACCGTGAGATCATGACCTGAGCTGAAGTCGGACGCTCAACCGACTGAGCCACCCAGGCACCCCTAGATAAACAGTTTAAAACTACCAGACTACACGGGGCGCCTGGGTGGCGCAGTCGGTTAAGCGTCCGACTTCAGCCAGGTCACGATCTCGCGGTCTGTGAGTTCGAGCCCCGCGTCAGGCTCTGGGCTGATGGCTCAGAGCCTGGAGCCTGTTTCTGATTCTGTGTCTCCCTCTCTCTCTGCTCCTCCCCTGTTCATGCTCTATCTCTCTCTGTCCCAAAAATAAAATAAACGTTGAAAAAAAAATTAAAAAAAATAAATAAAACTACCAGACTACATAGTTTTGAAGTTCCCTTTTTGTTTGAAAATTACTTTGAATTTTCTGATTCTGATAGCTTTCTGGCATTTCTAAATAACCAAAATGACGAAAGCTTAATGTTTGCAGCATAAATACAAGTAGAACTAACCAGCAATGGCAGGTGACCACATAGGTGAACTCACAAGGGACAACATGGTATTATTTTCAGGCCACATAATGAGAAAGGACACACATCCTAAGTGGTGGGAGCAGTTGGTGCGAGACCCGAGCTTGACTTGTAAAAATTGCCACACGCATATTAGATGCTCAAACCCTGCTTGTTGAGTAAACGAGTGGTCTGTTCTGGGCCTAGATATTCCCAGTTATGCCAGTGTGACTAAGAAATGGGGAATGAGCAGTTGTAGAAATCAAGCAGAGAGAATAGGGGTATTCCTGACCCCAAAATGTAGTGTATGATATTGGCCCAAAAAAGTTCTTGTCTTAAAAAATTGGAGAATAAAATTTGTGGCGGGGAGGCAGTAGCCCCATGTTATTCCTGCTGGTTTCTTTTCGTTCAGGAAGTCCATTGCATTCAGGAGCGACGAGCTTCTGAGGAAGCTCAGAGCTGCTGGTGTTGGGGACAGGCCAGTCATTTGGGTGTCACACAGCATGGGAGGTAAGTACATTTCATCGTTGTGAGGCCAGCGCTGTGAGGCTGTTGGAGCTGAGTTACCCCAGCTGTTTCACTTAACACTGGCCCTTTCCCCCCAAATTAACGTTTTTGGCTGTGGCTAAGTTTTTAAATTACTCTCCTCTCCTTCCCTGCTATTTGTTTTTCTACAAGGGGACCACAAGGAACAGGAGTTTGACAACATCATGATCTCATGTAGTGAGAATCAGTAAACAGCAGAAGCAGTCTATGGCTTATATAAGCCTGACCTATAAATATCCCTCAGCATTCCTGGCTGGTCCTTGTGCTCCCCGCTTCCCTGCACCCCCTACCACTGCGGAGCCCACAGCCCCAGCCCCAAGCCTGCTGAAGGGGAGGTGTGATGGCATCTGGGACCTGGTGTAGGCTTGCTGAGCAACATCCCCTGCCCCTCCCAGCGCACTCCCCACCCCCTTTCTCTGCGAGTTTTCACCAGCTGCCCTGCAATGGGCCTTGTTGCAGCCCCTGACCTCGTTTATCTGATGAAACGCTCAGGATTGCAGACTCAGAGTTGGGGATTTTTCTCAGAGAAAGGAAGATGTAGCCGTTTGTGTCCGCAGAGGTCTGCTGTCACCATCTAAGTGACCTTTGTGTTGCATCATCAGCTTCAAGCCCAGGGTAGGAGGACAGAAGAGATGGTGCCTTCCTGGGTGCATTTGCCTACGGAAGGTTTGTTTTCCTTGGGGGTTAAGCTTTAGGGGAATCTCTTTTGAATATTAGTACTGTCCTCATGGTGTGGCCATTAGTGGGTCACTGTGGGCAGGATGGGGAGACTAGTACTGCACATGTACTTCATTGATGGACACCCCAAATAGCAATGCCCGGCACTCCTTCTGTGGGACAGTGCATCCTGTGATAGAAGATCTGCATTTCAGGTGAGTTTGTAGAATCTTACTTGTAGGCTTGTGTTCTATACAGTTGGCCCTGGAATAGCATGAGGACTAGGGGCACTAACCCCTGCATAGTCAAAAATCTGCATATAACTTCTGACTCCCCCAAAACTTAGCTACTGATAGCGTACTGTTGACCAGACACCTTACTGATAACGGTCAATAAATATGTTTTGTGTATGTACACCGTACTGTATTCTTACAATAAATAAGATCATGAGAAGATATATTAACAGTACTGTGCGAAATCCATTATGAGTGGACCTGTACGTTCAAACCATGCTGTTAAAGGGACATCTGTATTCTACATTATCAAGCGCTAATATTTTAAAGCCCTGTCTGTTGGACTATAGAGAATTGTTTAAACTTTTAAAAGAAACATCTCTTTTTGTGTATATGTTCCCTACCACCACCCCTGCCCCGCTTTTTTTTTTTTTTTTTTAGAATAATGGAAGGAAGAAAAACAGCTCATGCATTCTTTTTCTTTGTACAACTAGGTCTTCTTGTCAAAAAGATGCTGTTGGAAGCCTCCAAGAAGCCAGAAATGAGTACTGTTATAAACAATACCAGAGGAATAATTTTTTATAGCGTCCCTCATCATGGATCCCATCTGGCTGAATACTCTGTTAATATTCGCTATCTTCTCTTTCCCTCCTTGGAAGTCAAAGAACTCAGCAAGGGTAATACTTACCTTCTGTCACGAAGGGAATTGGGATTGTATTACAATATTAGTTATACAGGACAAGGAGGAAGAAAGTGTCTAACTTGGCTGTATTATCCCATTTTATTATTTGCACTTGGTCTTAGCCAAAAGGCCAAGAAGTGATCCCATTTTGTTATTTGTATACAAATCATGTTTAGACTGTCATAGAAAATTTTTAGTTTAGGCTTGATTTTTCTTTGATACTTTCCCTTAAGCCATTATTTGCTCAAATATAACAATTTTAATACTATCTTAAATATTTAAAATTTTAAGTATTATTCCAAATTACCAACGAACTGCTTTTTTCCATGAGTTCAGAAGGTCAACTTATTAAGACGTAAACAAAGTTTTAAGATTTTCAGGATAGTAATTATAATGTACTATCTTTACTTTGATTGATAAGCATTTTCTCTTTTTCTGGAACACCTATTGATCATTTTGGAGCCCCTGGCTGAGCCTTAATATATCACTTGTCTTTTTGTTTAGATTTGCTCTCCTGCGTTATGGAGAGTTACTTCATCTTCTAAACCTTCTATTGAACTTTATTTTTGGCAGTTGTTTTATTTTCCACAAACTCTTTCTTGTTCTCTGATTCTTTTGAAATCATTTTAACGATACTAATTCGAGGTTTTTCTTAAAGTTCTTTTCTGTTTCTTCACTGAGTTCTGTGTCTTCTGTGCCCAGGTTTCCCCCCCCCCCTTTCTTTTCTTTTTGTTCACCAGGTCTGTCTCTTTTAGGTTGTAGGGTATCTTCTAGGATATGGTCTGTCCTGGTTGCCTTTTCCTAGTTGAGGATGGGGGACAGGCACTCTGTGATTAGAGACAGGCTCTGTTGATGGGAGGTTGGGCTTTAGGGTGAAGGTGCCAGCCAGCACACTGAGGGACCCCTCAGTCCCACATACCACATTGCCCTACCTACTTCCAGTCAGCCAGTAACATGTGGAACCTCTCCCTCTGCCTGCTGGCCTCTGTCAGTTCTGGGGTGGCTTTAACTCTTTAGTCTCATCTTAACGGCTTCTTGGGAAGGAGAAAATAAGCCACGAACTTTCATCAGGACCCTAATTTTCTCTTTAGTACATTTTATTATGAATTGGGTAAACAATTTGTCACAGTCTTGTTTTCTGTAATTTTACAGATTCTCCTGCACTTAAAACACTACAGGATGACTTTCTGGAGTTTGCTAAAGACAAAAACTTCCAGGTGCTGAATTTCGTGGAAACACTGCCAACTTACATTGGTAGCATGATTAAACTGCATGTGGTACCTGTGGAATCAGCAGGTATTCACTCTTGCGAAATTTGTTCCCTATGAGATGCCTAGTTGGTGGTACCTATATTTAATCAGAAGCAACCCGTTTTTATGTTCAGCTTCTCAGTTAAGGAGACAGTTTTAAGGAGATCTAGATTCTATGATTCTTTTTAGCTATAGATTAAAATTTCTCTGCCAACATACAACCTTGGCATTACTCCTCTCCATCCCTGCATTTAACTGACTAGCTGGCCAGGGTTCATTGGCTACTTCTAACTTAGCCATAACCAGTGAGCTCTGTCGCATGAAAGTAAGAATACAGAGCCCTTGTGTCAGAACGAAAGGAGCATTTCATTTAACAGACTGATGATTGATTTGTTAAAGGTTTCTACATGCAGCTAAAAGTGTGGAAGCTTTAGTAAATGGAGGACTGTATTTTTTTTAGTTTTTTCCATTGGAATCTTAGATGGGGAATATTCAAACACCAGTTTTGTTTTGTTTTTTTACAATACTGGAAATAACCAATACCTGTTACTATGGTGTATTATAATGTATCACAGGCTCTTTGAGGGTAGGGCCCAACTCTTAATTCTCTTTATAGCCTCCGATATTACTCTGTATGTAGTATATAACCCACACATTTCCCTTCTTGAACCGCTTTTCCCTCACCTGGTCAACTGGATCACCTCTGATACAGGGCTGGGTGCTATCTGGTGGTATTTGGCCATACTGAGGGCTCTCAGGGACAGTGTGGATCTGGAGTGTCTGGCAGATGGTTCTTCAGCCTGTATAACAAGTTTTGTCCCAAGTCCATTATGTATTGAGCCTAAAGAGGCTTTACCGCAAAGTAATACCCCATAGGGTGAGGAGTTCATGGGTTGAAGAACTTACAAAAAGGACTTTGGAACTAGGACCTCTTGTCACTTCCAGCTAGGTGACTTTGTTAGGCTGAAACATCAGAAACTCTACTAGATCTCTCAAGCACTAAATCCTCTTACCCTGGTAGAGTGAAAGATGAATCCCATGTGAGACGTTCCCATTCTTGTCAGGATAAGGGAGCTCGTTATGAAGTATAACAACATAAACTCTAGAAAAAGAGGTGGTTAAAAGAACCGTGGAATAATTTAGTAATAACATGCAAATATATAAAGGTTTTGAGGATGATACTACTCAGGTTCTGTTCACTGTTAGCAAGTAGGCCAGAACACATAAATTCTACAAAGAGTTTATGAAAAGCATAAAATTATACCTGAGAATCCATTCTCATGTGATTAGTCACATGTAGTTTAGCAATGGTCACACTTCTGGTTCCTTTATCTTTTTAGAGTCCATTAGCACCACCAAATCACATTTGGAACCACCCAACTGTCCTCGTTCAGTATTGACAGGGGAAGCCTCCATTTTTACTTAGATTTTGACATTTTTGTTTTCTTCAGATTTAGGCATTGGAGATCTAATTCCTGTGGATGTTGACCATTTGAACATTTGTAAGCCAAAGAAAAAAGATGCTTTTTTATACCAGCGTACCTTACAATTCATCTGTGAAACTTTAGCCAAAGATCTTGAAGACTGACCGTTATCCTCTTCCATTTTGCAAGAAATTTGGTGTTCTCTTTCTCTTTTAAAGCTCTAAGCAATCATGCAAACATATTCCCTATGGCATCACTGTGGTCTGAAGCATGTTGCAGGCAACAGCCTATTCTCATTTCATGCACTGAAAAGCACAAACCTAAAGTGGCAATCAAAGAATGAAGGGCTAGACTGGATTCTTTTGGTTTAAAAGAAATTCCATGTGCACTAGCTTATGTTTTGCAGTGTTGGCCCTGGTGCAGAGAGCAAGCTGCTATGGACAGAGACTGCCTTTTGTCATCCGTGACTGTCTCCAGCTCATACCAGGAAGAACACTGATGGTTTCTCAAGGGAGAGCAATCATCACCTTCCATAAAAATGCCATTTGGAGAGTACCTAGACTAGAGAGGAGACTGAACCATGGAATATAATACATAGAATATAAATATTTTTTGTTCTGGGTTTCCATGTGCTGTAAATTTAAAAATATATATCTGTGTAAACCTTTGTCTAACATTAACTGTCAGACTTGTCATCCATGGGCAGTTCCTTACAAGTTTTTATTTTCATATTGCTGAGAACAAATAATTCTCTTTTTAAAAGAATTGTAGCCTCTAGTAATTCTTTCCAGATTGCAGCTACCTATACTTGTAATTTTTCCCAGATAAGGATAAAGTAGCTAATCCATTTTATATATATATATATATATATATATATATATCAGCAGTACTTAGTATGAAGATTCTCTGATTCTCTTTAGCTAAGTAACATAGACCTTTCTTTCATGCTTATTTGAAAGTTGCATCAATTGACCTTGAGCATGTAAGAAATATGAAATCACGTTAATGACTTTTTAGTTTTAAATAACAGCATTAAGATAGAAATCACGTAATATTGATCCTTTTAAACATACAGTTGATTTTTAGTGTATATACAGAGTTGTACGACCCTCCCCATTATGTAATTTCAGAACATTGCATCATCCCCCAAATTAACTCTATACCCATTAGCAATCACTACTCACCTCCTTTCCCTTCAGCTCCTGCCAAACACTAATCTACTCCCTCTATGGATTTGCGTATTATGGACATTTCATATAAATGGAATCATACAATGTGTGGCCTCTGTGTCTGCCTTCTTTTAGCATAATGTTTTCAAGGTTCATGTATGATGTAGCATGTATCAGTACTTCATTCCTCTTTATGGTCAAATAATGTTCAATTGTGTGGAGATATACATTTGTTTATGCATTCATTGGCTGATGAATATTTAGGTTCTTTTCACTTTTTGGCTATTATGAATAATGCTGCTGTAAACACAAGTTTTTATGTGGACATATGTTTTCCATTCTCTTGGATATAAGGAGTGGAATTGCTGGGTCCTTTTAAACCTATCTTTAGCATTTTGAAGATGGTAGACATTTGTAGAATGGGATAACCAAAGCTAAAACTATAAAGTACAGCATCTGAAGGTAAACTCAGGTCACCAGTAAACTCTCAACATGTAATTATGAACCAACCTAACAAGTGACTTAACCACTTGTTTTATTATGTAGATACAGTGAATGTAAGGATTAGCTAGCAATGGTAAGCTGACAATAAATACTAGCTAAGGGAGATCGATTTGCAGCTCTTAAAAGCTGCAGCCTGAGGCTCAGACTTCTAATTCACCACACCTCTAGAGGCTGACTGTGATCCTCCATGGAGACTGGGGAGGCAGATGGGAACCATATCTGCATTCTCCCTCTGGCCCATTTTAAGTCCCTGGTGTTTCCCTGGGAGAACCTTGCAAGCCAGTGCCCTGGCTTTTGTGGCTGCTACCCAGAGAATGCACCCCTCAATTGCTGGGCTCTGGTGGCCAGCAGGGCTTGTGTTTGGGGGGTCCCTCAGGACTACAACAAACACAGAAACCAGTCAGGGCTCAGCACAGGCAGAAACCCCCATCTTGCAGTCTTCCCCTAGAAAAAGTCTATTTACATACTTTAAAAGCCCAGCTTCCAGTCAGCCTACATCTAGGTACTGATAGATCCTCCCCTTTGTAACATTGACAGGTTTTGGCAGATTCCCAACTAGTAGCAGATATTAAGAACAAAGAAGGTGGTTTGGACAGTCACAAAGCTTTGAGAGATAATCAAGAACTCAGACTGAATGGCAAGTTTCGTCTAAACAAGACCACTCTGTCAAGACTGGGAGAAGTGACTCCTTGATCTAATGTACAGAAACCAACAGAGTGTTGAGGAAAATGAATAAACATGAATATAGAAGATAAAACTTGAGAAATCTTTTTTTTTTTTTAATTTTTTTTTCAACGTTTTAATTTATTTTTGGGACAGAGAGAGACAGAGCATGAACGGGAGAGGGGCAGAGAGAGAGGGAGACACAGAATCGGAAGCAGGCTCCAGGCTCTGAGCCATCAGCCCAGAGCCCGACGCGGGGCTCGAACTCACGGACCGCGAGATCGTGACCTGGCTGAAGTCGGACGCTCAACCGACTACGCCACCCAGGCGCCCCAAGAGAAATAGATCTTAATAAGATGGAGATAAGTAATTGACCTGAAAGAGTTCAAAATAACGATTTTCATGAAAGACAGAAAATGTAATCAAGAACCAAACAAATCACAGAGCTGGAAAATACAGTAAGAAACTGACAAATTCAATAGTGTTTCAATGACAGACTAGACTGTGTGGAAGAAAGGATCAGCAAACTCAAAGATGGCAGTGGAATTCAATCAGAGGAACAAAAAGAAAAAAGAATGAAAAAGAGTGCTGATTTGGGACTTATGTGCATTATGGGACTCCTTGAAGGAAAAGAGAAAGGGACAGACGGCTTATTCAAAGAACTAATGGCTGAATTCTTCCCCAGCCAGGAAGCCCAGAGAATACCAAATAAGATGAATCTAAACACATCCACACCAAGACACATAATTGCCAAAAATTAAAAATGAGAGAATCTTAAGAGTAGCAAGAGAAAAATTGTTATGCACAAGAGAACACCAGAATACTATTAGATTTTTCAGCAGAAACTTTGCAGGGCAGAAGGGGGTGGCATAATATATTCAAAGTACTGAAAGAAAAAAATTGGCAACCAAGAATACTCTACCTGGCAAAGTTCTTTGGAATTGAAGACCTAAAGAATTTTCCAGACAAGAAAGAGCTTAAGGAGTTCATCACCACTAGACCAGCCTTACGTGAAAGGATAAGGGAATCCTTCAAGCTGAAATGAAAGGATACTAATTAGTAACAAGACATATGAGGGTATAAATCTCACTCGTAAGGGTAAATATGTAATTAAATTCAGAATACCCTAATGTTATAATAGTGATGGGTAAATCACTTGTAAATCTAGTATGAAGGTTAAAAGACAAAAGAACTAAACTATAAGTATAATTTGTTAATGGATAGACAACATAAAAATACATAATTTGTAACATCAAAAAAATAAAATGGGAGGAGTAAAAACAGAGCTTCAGTGGGCATTTGAACTTGTTAGTTTAAAGGTTTTTTTTTTTTCAACGTTTATTTATTTTTGGGACAGAGAGAGACACAGCATGAACGGGGGAGGGGCAGAGAGGGAGACTCAGAATCGGAAACAGGCTCCAGGCTCTGAGCCATCAGCCCAGAGCCCGACGCAGGGCTCGAACTCACGGACCGCAAGATCGTGACCTGGCTGAAGTCGGACGCTTAACCGACTGCGCCACCCAGGCGCCCCTGAACTTGTTAGTTTAAATAAACTTATAAATATGTTTTATGTAAGCTTCATGGTAACCTCAATGCAAAAACATAGTAAATACACAAAAGAGAAAGCAAAAGGAAAACAATTAGATCAGACATGGACTTACTATTGCTATCTTATTAACAATTACTTTAAATATAAATTGATTTCTCCAATCAAAAGACAGAGTCGTTGAGTGGATTGGAAAAAAACAAAACTATATGCTGCTTATAAGACACTCACTTCAGCTTTAAGGATACACACACACTGAAAGTGAGGAGATGGAAAGAGACATCCCATGCAAATAAAAACCAGAAAGCCAGGGTAGCTGTATTTCTAGCAGACAAACTTAAAGCTAAAGATTGTAATAAGGGGAAAATGTCATTATATAATGATAAAAGGGCTAATCCAACAGAGAATATAACATTTGTAAATATTTACAACATAGCACCTAAATATATGAAACAAATATTAACACA